ATTAGGGTTAATTACAAAAAAAAAAAAAAGAAGAAAAAAACCCCAAAGTTTTAGCTTTTCTTTAAATCCGAAAACGATTATCCGTTACCTTATATAAATGGAGATGGAGATGAAACTCCAAGGTTTAATTTGTCAAAATTGAAACATTGGGTTTGAAAGTAAAAAATGTGTGAAATCTTGATTTTTTATTTTTTTAATTAATCCAAAAAAAATCATATACAAATATTTTTATAAAAAAAAATCAAAAAGATATATATACAGATATATATAATCAATGCTCTTTCATGAAATCACTTCTTTCAAATAAATCTTATTTTTAAGAGGATTAAATAAATCTCAAAGGCTCGATTTTAAAAATTATGAGAAAGATTAAAGAGAATGGCATACAGTTTTTTTGCCTTTGAAACCTAGTCTGGCCCAAACTTGTTAGGCTTTTACCCAAACAAGTCCCAAATTCTGCATGGACCGGTCCAAGTGAGATTGGGTTGGATTTGGGCCTTGATTTTGAAACTCAGTCTGGCCCAAGCTCATTGGCCTGTTGACTGAAGTGAGACTGGGCCTTGACATTGAAACCCAACCCAGCCCAAAGTATCCAGTGTACGCTACGAGATGGTAGGTGTACCAATTGGAGAGCTTCGCTTATGGGAGCCATAGAAACAAGCCTAGCTCATGGTCTAGTATATTTTGACATTTATCCCAACCTAAGTGTAGCCTTATCAGATCAAAACCTATCTAAGGTTTTAGAACTAAGGATATTATCTCATGGTTATGAGTATCTTCCAGGATCACCACCTTTTACAGTCATATCCAGAATTTATTTAAAGGTTTTATCAACTTTAAATCCTTATATTAAAAAGCAGGGTGATCAAGGTCACACAGTGCTTATTGACACCAATCTTTACAGTAGCCAAGTTGCTGTTCCTCAAATGATTAAATGGGACAAAATTAGTTTTCCAGAAACATGGCAAGTAACTAATGTTGTTCCCCCTCGACCAATTGTTAGACACAATTTGGATGAGATAACCAGATGCATCCATGCTCTGTAAGCCCTTCTTTAGCCCATCCCTTTTAACAAAACAGGAGCCATCCTGAGATAGAAAATGTCACATAACTATCAATCAAGCGCCAACCAAAAAAATAACTATCAATCAAACTATTGTAATGACCAAAACCTCAATAAATATGGTCTGTTGACCACAATTTAGTGGCAATAAAGAGGAAAGTTAAAATTGCAATATATATAATTCTTTTATTTTTCTTTTTCGAAGATAAAGAAGGAATTATATTAGCGTACTTCAGCATCTGTTTCTCTCGGCTCTACAACAGCACGTCTGCTGTGGTATTCATGTAGTTCTCGAGAAAGCTCCTTATTAAGTTCAGCCTGCAAGTACTCTAGCTGCTGCCGCATATTTTTCATCTCATTCGACATCAAATCTCTGTTAACCTGTACAACAAGATAATGTGCTCCCTCAGAAATCAAAAGATACAGAACTTGATGCCAATAGAATCTATCCATCTCCAAATAGTGAAGTGGAAATATTTAACAAAAAGAAAATAATAATAACATATAATCATCAAGGTTACTTACAACAGGCTTATTCTGAATGTTTCGAGCACGATTAGCATATTTGAGAGTGTTCAGAGTTTCCTCGACATTGATGTCAGCAGGGCTGATGCAGGCTGGAAGAAGGATGATGGCAGAATCAACCAGTCAAGAATGAAAAAGGTTTTAACAATAATCATTGCAAAAGTAAGAATATATTTTTAAGGATGCAAAGCAAGACACTTTGTAGAAATCAGAATCCCAAGCCTCTACTATATGTGATTTAAAACAGTTACGCATATATAAGGTAAAAAAGAAGCATAAAAAAATTAATTTTGTGAACCAAGTGGATCTAATTGGGCTGATCAAAATTTTGTGCCTTGTTAATTGCCTTGTTAAGAGTCAAGGAAGATTTCTCCTTCCTGGACTATGACCTCCAACTCACAAAATATATATATAGAATTGTTTGATCTAAATTCATTCTGAGTGACATTCATTTAGGTCACCCTTAATGAATCTATCACATATTGAATTTGTTTGCCTATATTTCTAAAAAATAAAAAAATAAAAATTTCCGTGCGCATATGTGAACTTGGATTGTCATAATAGAATACTTAATAGGAAATGCTAACCATCGCCATTGGATGGTGATTAATGTTCATATATGTGTAAAAATTATATTAACATATATTAACATATATTTTTTGTTTTTTATTTTTTGTAGACATTAAACAAAGAACTATAAAGATAAACGTTACAGTCCTAAGATTTTAATTCCCCCAAATTAGAGCTTTGTTCACCACTCAACCCTAACACGCCATATAAAAACAGAAAAAGAAAAAGAAAAGATGACGACGGTCATTATGCTTTGTACGGTTTGTTAGAATCAACTGGAATGAAATCGTCATTTCATCATAATGTTATTCTCATATTTGGTTCAATAAAAACTATAAAATATATTTGCAAATAGAAGCAGTATTTATCATTATAAATGAATACTTATTGTTAAGGAATGACCATTTCAAAAGGACAAGACCAATTCTTGGCCAACATGAATATATGATATCCAATATACGGACCATTTTTAAAACCCCAACCTTGAGAACCTTAACAATACACAAAACAATCTGAAAACACTAAAATGAATATAAACCACCATTTGCCTATCTTATTTCTTATACCACATGCTTAAAAGAATTCAAAACACTGCTTGCTAAACCAAAAGAGTATTTTGCCCTTACCAAACATGTACAATTTTTTCTCTATTCTATTATATTTATATACCATATATTCATAAGCATGAAGAGAAAAAAGAGATATTTACTCCACTTCTTCAAAGTTCTTTTTAGAGCTCTAGACAGGATGATCTTGAAAAGGAGCTTGGGGGAGATTAACAGTGTGCGGTTTGATGTCTCTACACCGCATGTAAGTCAAGAACTGACCAGGTAGCTCTTCCAATAGACTCTGAACAATTGATATCTGTCCACCTGCAGAAACACAAAACAAAATTTACAAGATAAAGTGATAATAGAGGCACAACTGGCAAAAGACCAGAAAAGAAATTACTGGTGCATGGCGAAAACCTCCAAAATGAGAGAGAGAAGAAGAAACAGGTTATATTAGATGTTGGTATGGAAACCTAGCACCTTGTGAATTGCACTAAGGTCCCTTTTAGGAACAGAAATGAAGCTGACTTCGTCATCATCTGAGTTTCAAAACCCAGTTCAGGTTGTGACAGCATGGGAGCCATCAATAAAAACCTATCTATTCCTTGTTCTCCTCCTTTTTACTATGTATCTCTCATGTTTTTTTACAAATAATTTACAAAATTACCTTACATTTTAGTTTTTTGAAAAAATAGGCGCAATACAGTATTTCTATATCTTAAATTACATTTATGGCCCAAAGTACCAACAAAAAAACCATACACCCAAAGTATTTTGCCCACCGGATATGTATTTTGCATATCCAGTCTGCATCTAGCCGTACTGGTACGCTTACCCATACCAGGTAAGTACCTTGAACTTGTACGACAATATTTTAGAAGCACTTCATAAACAAAAATCTTGAGAGGGAATGAGAATCTCATTAATAGTAATATGATTGCTACTAATAAAAATCTTGTGTCATTGCATCAATGCTATTCAAGTATTTGGTTTCATTAGGAATCCTCAATGAGAATAATAAAATTTTAAATATTGTGAGCCCAATTATTATTTTGTACTCTTAAATGGTCAACATTCGTCTAGGAATGTGAGATTTCCCATAGGAAAGTGGGGGAATCAGATTCCTATTAAATTGGGGAGTGTGATACTTGTTGAAATTGATAATTAATAATCATTTTCCCATTTTGATGTGTTCCAAACACTAGAATCATGGGAATCTGGAATAATATTCCCATTCCCCCTCTCAAACTTTGTCATCCAAACCTATCCTAGAGGTGTTCCGAGCTTAACAAAAGAAAATAAATACCAGAAATACTAAACTCTCATGAGCACTAAAAAGCCAATTGTGCTAGATTCCAGTATGTGTCCTGCCCAAATGTGGCCAAAACTCTAAACCAAAATATTCTACAGACTTTGAAATAGTAAATCAAATTAAGTAAGAACTCACCATGTACATCACGCATTGGAACAAACTGTACAATGTCTCGTGTAGCTATCCTCCCTGTAGAACTCTCCAATCGATGTCCATTGTCAGCATCAAGGATCTGTCAAATAATGAGAAAATAGTCCAGGAGTATGTAATGCAAATAATTTGTTACAGAAAACAAGAATATACCTCCATTTGTTTGAAATCTGCACCACCCACTCCAACAATAAGAATGGATAGGGGTAGATCAGATGCCATTACCAAAGCATCTTTAGTTTCTTGGAGGTCAGTAAGGACTCCATCCTGTAGAATTGTTTCAAAATTATTTTATTGCAAAAATAAAGAATAAGAAAAAAGGAAAAAACAGAAAATGAAAATTTATCATTCACCGTTATAATAAGCAAGACAAAATACTTGCTGCTGTCCTGGGAGAGCGAACGACCAGCTATTTCTGCAGCAGTGTTGATCACTTGACCGAATAAAGTGGGTCCAGCAAGTGCAACGTTCCTCAAAGCACTACCATAAGCAGCCATGATGCCTTCTACTCCTTCAACCTGTAAAAAGAAGACGGAATTGACCATCACCTCTGTATATATAAACGGCAGGCCTCACAGATTTTTATGATTTCATTATGGACAATAGCATCATTATCCACATAAATCAATAGCTGGGAAGAGAAGTGCAAGTAGCATACTGCCACTGAAAATTAAGATTACCTCCCCATGTGTGGGTCTGGTATTACAACATATGAAACATACAAGTCAAAGAAAATGAAACATCATGACAAATCTGCTCAACATAGCAATTCAAAAAGTGGTATCTAATGAAAATATACATTAAATGATATGTTAAATTGTCGATCTGTCATTTTAAAACTTACAACTCATGCCCACTGCTAGAGATTTCAATATGTTGTCAAAAGAGATTTCAATATTCTACAAACTAATATCAAAGTTGTTGTTCATACTATAATTCTAATTGACACTACAACATTTTCTTAGTTTAGTGACATTTGAAAGTGCCACAAAATTATTCTTCTAATGACATTTTTTAGTCTTGTGGCATTTTGAACAAGTGCCACTTCTATCGGTGCCACGGTAAATACTTGCAAGTGCCACTGCACCATCATGGCTAAAAAATTTCAATGACATTTTAATGTCATGGTAGATATTATTTGTGGCACTATCAAGCGCCATTAAAAAAAGAGTTAGTGACACTTGTAAGTGTTATTGCACCATCAAGACAAAAACCTTTCAGTGACACTTTAATGTCATGGTAGGCACTATTCGTGACGCTATCAAGTGCCATTCTTGACGATAATTCGTTGTAAAACAATTTGATCCGCTCTTGCGGAGACTCGAACCGCCAACCTTCCGCACCATAAACCTTATACACCACACTCTTCCCACTACACCTCTATATCACCACATGATTATATATGCAACATATATTATTTATATAGTACATACATCCATATTAATATAAAAGTATATGTATAAACATAATTATTTTATTGAACATAATTTATGTAAAATAAACTATTTACTACCAAAATAAAAAAAAAGACCACTTTTGGCGACTAAAATATTTTTTAGTCGCCAATTCTATACTTCTGGCTACTAATTGTTTTTTAGTTGCTAAAAAACTTAACTTTTGTCAACCAAAATCGGATTTGGTCACCGAAGATGCACTTTCAGCTACCAAAATTTTGGTCACCAAAAAATTTTATTCCTGCCTTAGGATTTTAGTTCTCCCACGCTAAAAATGACCACTTTTGGCGACTAAACTTATTTTTTAGCCGCCAATTGTAGACTTTTGGCTATTAAAATTTTTTTTGGCACTAAAAAGTTTTACTTTTGGCTACTAAAATTTTTTTAGTTGGTAAGACCCATATAATCAGTGACCAAGCTTATTTTTAGTCGCCAATTGTAGACTTTTGGCTACTAAATTTTTTTAGTCGCAAAAAAGCTTTACTTTGGACTACTAAAAATTTTGTAGTCACTAAAACCCATATAATTAGCGACCAAACTTAGTTTTAGTCGCCAATTGTAGACTTTTGGCTACTAAAATTGTTTAGTCGCCAAAAAGCTTTACTTTTGGCAACTAATGCTGTTTTGGTCGCTGAAAGCTATACTTTCAGCGACCAAATTTTTTTGATCAGGAAATTTAGTCACCGAATATGCTTTTTCCTATAGTGTATATTGAGTTTAATTCATTTATTTTTAATCATTTACTGCATTTTAAAAATTTAGAAAATATATTGGCATTTTTTATTTTTTCAAAAATGTCATTATAAGCTTAGAAAGTTTTTGGCTTAGTGGCATTTCTCAAAATGCTATAAAATATTTGTTTATGACACTTTTCACCTAAGTGCCATAAAAAGTAATTTGCACCTACCTAGTGTCCTGACATTTTTTAAAAAATGCCATTGCAACTAAAGTTTAGTGGCATCTGTTGGAAAATGTCACGAACATAATTTTTTGTGTCATTATTTTATAAAAAGTCATAAAATTGATGTGACATTTCTTTATTGAAATGCCACTAGAGCCTTATATGTTTTGTGGTTCTATGACATTTTCCTAAAACATTTAATGCCAATTTTTATTTTTGTGGCATTTTCTAAAAACATGCTACTAGTGTAGTGTCACTAAAGCGTAAATTTGTTGTAGTGGCATTTTTGTTGTAGTGAAGTGACACTTTTTTTAATTGAAATGCCACTAGAGCCTTGTATGTTTGTGGCTCTATGACATTTTTCTAAAAAATACCACCAAATATTCTTTTTGTGACATTTTTTAAGAATGCCACTAGTATGGTGTCACTAAATTATGTTTTTGTTGTAGTGTTGTGACACTTGTTCATTAAAATGTTACTAGAGCCTTTTATGTTTGTCGTTTTGTGGCATTGTTCAAAAACGTGCCACTAAATATCATTTTTGTGGCATTTTCTAAAAATATGCCACTAGTGTAGTGCCACTAAAGTATGTTTTTGTTGTAGTTTTGTGACACTTGTTCATTGAAATGTCACTGGAGCCTTTTATGTTTGTCGTTTTGTGGCATTTTTCAAAAACGTGCCACTAAATATCATTTTTTGTGGCATTTTCTAAAAATATGCCACTAGTGTAGTGCCACTAAAGTATGTTTTTATTGTAGTGTGATAAATTTATTACTGTAAATTTATTCATAAAAATAAAAGAAATTGATAAATTTATCAATGAATAATATTACATGCACCAATTAGTATACTAATTAGTATATTAATGGATGATGTGCCATAATTTTAGAAGTTTTAAATTTTTATAGTTTGTATAGTGGGTGGGATCATAGTGTTAAAGTGGCAATGTCATAGCATATGTTAGTATCAATAGGACTTAATAAGTTATAAGTCTCAAAAGTAGGACCTATTGATAAAAAAAATTCCTAAATTTAACCTATATATGAGTTTTTGTCCTTTCCATGTCAATACACACCAATGTACAAGTTAGAATGAAAATTACATATGTATATGTTGGTTTCAAAACATATTCGTTCCTAGCCAATTAATTCATAAGTTATTCACAACCTACACAACTGGTTTGACTGCTGTAAAAATCTTTGGCCATGTTTGGTTTCAATTTGAAAGCCAAAATTGAAAGCTTATTTGTTTAGAATTCTCTCAAAGCTATTCCAAAATTTTCACCAATGTAGTGATTCCGGTTTTGACCCAACCCTTATTGTATCCTGAACTTAGGTTTCATGGTTCCGTGTTGTTGGTCATACCTTGCTTCCCTTGTTATTCTTTAAATTTGGCTTTTGGATTGTTGTGGTTGTGTTTGGGCCAGGTTGATTACTTAGTTTCCAAACTCTTGTTACCTAGAATTTTGCTCCTCCGCTCGAGCGACATTTCTTGCACTCAAGCGGGCTTTGTGAGCTCTTAGTATTTTTGCAAGTCTGCAAAACTATTAGGAGAGTGTACTTTATGCTCAAGAGGATCTTTCTGCGCTCGAGCGTTGGTCTGTTGTTTGCAAAACTACTAGGAGTGCGCCCAAGCTTCACTTCTTGCGCTTGAGCGGAATAACTCGTTGTGTTTGACGCTCGAGCATCACTTCTGGCGTTCGAGCGGACTGTGCGTATATCAGTTCACAACAGCCCTATTCTACATCACTTTTTTTTATCTCTTCCTCTCTCTAAAACGTTCCAAAACCCTAGATCTTGAGTCTATCTCTCTAAAACCTACCTTCTCTCTACATTTTCTCCTACATCTAGTGAGTTCTCTACCCGTGTACCTTTGTTAAAAAGGTAAAGCTTCTCAAGGGCTACATTTTGATCTGAATAGAGCTTGGTTTCAACATCCTTGAGGTCTCTCCATTTCTCCTTTGGTCTTCTAAACTTGAGGTAGAGATTTTCTATACTCTTCTATGATTTTTAACTTAATTATTTATTGTTGTGTAAATAATGTTAGGATATGGAGGATTTTAGACAAACCTAGGGTTTTAGTTTAAAATCAAAAGAGGGGTTTTCAAATGAAACTATTGAAAATGATTATGGGTGCAGATATGAGAATGTGTTATGTTGAATTTGTTGATTCTGACACATGGATTGGATTTTGGAAAGAAATGGAGTGTTGCCCTAAAATGTTCGAATAATTATTTTGTATAAATAATGAAATTGATATTGTGAATGTGAAATTGAATAGATGTGTATACAAATGGTGGAGCTGGATATGTATTACCTCTTACCTATGGAAATTTGGATAATTTATCTGTCTTGGAGATTGCATATCTGTTTAGAAATATCTGTTTTGGGCTATCGGTGGAGGATAGTTATGATTGTTGTAGAAATTGCATAAGGATTAGGTGAATTGAAACTAATCTCTTATGGCTTGTCATTGAACATGACTGTGTTTTAATGCATTATATATGTATGTTGTTGGGAGGAGAAAGTGGATGTACTCCATGTTTAGCAGGAGAAAAGCGATGGACTCTAGTGAATTAAGTTGGCCAGTGCGTCCAGGGTGAAAGTCCCGAAAACTGCTTGTATACATGGGTGTCGATCCCGCAAACAAAATTTTCGTAAAATGGCAAGTTAATGTGTTTGTATGATAACTATATTGATTTAAGACCCAGTGAGTTGTATCCTCAGTACGGGTTGATTGAATGAAATGGATATGAACAATAAAACTTGGCATATTATGATCTTGTAAATTATGAATGATTTTATCGTAGGCATTGTATATGCACATTATAATTATATCTTTGTTAAGATTCATATATTGTGTTAGATTGTTTCTCCTGGGCTTTGGCTCACCCTACTTGGGCACAACCATTTTCAGGTGGTGATGATATGCCTCCGCCAAGAACTTAGCTTTGGAGGATTGTAGAGCTGAAGGCTCAATTCCTGTTTATTTTGTATTTACTTTTTCACAAGCCTAGGGCTTTATTTGTATTGAGCTTATGACTTATTTTGTTATAACCAAGCACGGTCTTGGAAAGTTATAAGCCATTAGGGTATTTGAATATCTGTTTAGCTTTCATTTCTTTTACCTTTTGTAACACATGCAGCAGATTTAGGGTGAACGATTTATGAATGTATATCGCATGTATCACCTTTTGTATATTAACTCTGGTTAATGAAAACTTGTTACTTTATTTATATCACTTGGTACTAGTGTTTGGAGTTGGATTCTGGTAATTACTTGGTATATGTGCCACCGTCTTCGGCTTGTTCTTAGGACCAAAGTCAGGGTAGAGGCCAACCACTCACTTGTTATCAGTGTGGGCAAGCGGGGCACATGAAGAGGTTTCGCCCTCAATTGGGCAGCACATCTGGTGCGTCTGGTTCGAGGCAGACACAGAGCCACCAGCCGCCATAGTCAGCACAGGCCTCGAGGGCCAATCAGAGAGCCTCTTCGGCTTAGTCAGTGCATCAAGCTTATGCTCTGAGGGGTGAGTAGGTTGAGCAGAGACCTACAGGGCGTGTGTAAGAGTGACTCATTAGATTATCTTGCCGACCTTTACATTAGGGACATAGTGAGATTACACGGGGTCCCTGTGAGGATTGCTTCGGATAGAGATCTGTGTTTCACAGCTCAGCTGTAGCAGAGCCTACAAAGTGCCTTGGGCACGAGACTGGCCTTTAGCACTGCATATCATCCTCAGACTGACGGACAGTCAGAGCACACCATTCAGATTTTAGAGGATATGCTTCGGGGTTGTGTCCTTGACTTTAAGGGTTCGTGGGAGAGGCACTTACCCGTAGTGGAGTTTACCTATGACAATAGCTTCTAATCGAGCATTGGCATGACACCATTTGAGGTCTTGTATGGCCAACCGTGTAGATCTCTTGGGCTGAGTTGGGTATGTACCTATGTTGGGTCCAGAGTTAGTTCGAGAAACGACGAAGAAAGTTGTTGCCACGACCCAACCCGCCCCTGTAGGTTTAGCATCGTAACCAGCCAGTAATCCTAGGATTACTAAAGGCCTCTGAATATAATAACAAAATATAAGGGGCTGTAGAAGCAAATATACAAAATATAATGTCCATAGAGCTGTGTAGACGTACATGGGACAAAAAATTTCAAAACTTTATATATATATATATATATATACGAAACGTCATAAATACAGTAGTCTTACGTCAGGTTCATTACAGATATAATCAAAAGGGGTCTAAGCCTTATATACAAATAAACAGAAGACTTGTTCCAAAAACCCAAAAGAAAGCAAAGTCTTATATGCTCACAAAACAGGACCACATGATATTCGAAACCTCCTCGGGAGGCACAAAGGCTGGCTGACAAACCCAAACTCCAGGTCATCAACTCTCGCGCCTGGTCACCTACATATATAAATAATAGAGTGAACAGAAGCCCAGTGAATAATAACAAGGTTTTAATGAATGATGTCCCACATTAGATTCAGAAAACAGACTTCATATCAGAAACAGATTCATATTCATATTCTTATTCAAATCATATACAGAAATTGGAGTTCATGCTTATTCATACATGGTATATCCATTAGCGCTAATAGATCAAATACAAAGCTTAAAAGGGTCATGCTTGCCAGTTTTGTTAAGGAACCTTTGGTACCAGGAACAGATAACATACTTAAGCCATGGTATTGTTACCTCTGGGCGAGGGCCATAAAACCACGGTATTATTACCCTCGGGTAAGGGCCATGAGACCACGGTATTATCACCCTTGGGCAAAGGCCTTGTGCTTATGGACCACGATATTGTTACCTCCCGGCTAGGGCCTTCTGCTAAGGATGCCACAAGTACTTGTCAGAAATTTGGACAATCATTCATTGTTACATAATATAACACTTTAGAAAACTAGATCATTTCTTGTCATATCATAGCATATAGGAAAATACTTAAATGTGAACATAGCTTTACAAAGTTATTACTCACAGATGGCTCCAGAGCAGACAGGCAAAGCAGCAAATTACATAGCTTACGACGCGTGACCTACACAAACATAGCAGATACAACCTTGAAACACACACCCGGATATAACTTAACTTATTTCCTTTCATTCTTAGTGTGTTTCTAAGTCTTAACCTCCTTATTATGTCTTAGTTATGGCCTAGGAATGCCTAGGATACAATGAGGATACCAAAATGCACTTGAAAACACTTAGTTTTGCTGAAAACAGGGCCTTTGTTCGAGAGCCACTTCCTTTGCTTGAGCAGAGGTTCAAAAATGTGAGTGGTCGCTCGAGCGCAGCTTCCTTCGCTCGAGCGGTCTGTAAACTCTGCAAAAGTACTAGTTATGTGATTTCTCCACTTGACGGCCATTCGACGGTCGCTCGAGTGTGTGACTGACGTATTCGCTTTAGTACGACTCTTGTCACTCGAGCGGTTTGTAAAACATATGAACTTCTGGGAGCATGCGTTTTACGCTCAAGCCAACTTTTAGTCGCTCAAGCAGAGGTGCAAAACACAGAGTGGTCTCTTGAGCGCAAAATCTGTCGCTCGAGTGGAGGAGCAGAATTATGGAATTTCCAAATTTGCCCCCAAGCTCAAAACTCTAATTTAAAGCTGAAATTCATGATCTTTTGGGCCCAAAATTGAAGTAAACTTGTATAAACTTGTCAAACTTCATGAATTCAAAACCATTTCGCAAAATCAAAGTCCAAAAGCAAGCGAATTCTGCAAAACAAACCATGAATTTTATGTATACATATCATGCATGTATTCACTTGGGTTCACAGCTTCTAAAACATGTACAAATGAAGTGTTAAAGTGCAAAACCACAATGAGCTCCCAGAATTGAACAAAAATAGGTCTTTGCATGCGAGAATTAGTTGAAATCAACACTTGAAATCCATGGATTATGTATGCATGTATGGTATAAGTTACATTCCTTGATTTCCATCTTAATTCTAGCATTACACAACTTAATTCTTTGGATCCATGTGCTAATTGATTCAATTTTAAAGTTACAAGGTTGAATTCTTACCTAAGATGATCAATTAGGCTCTAGATGGTGAATCCACTAAGCTTCCAAACCAAATCCTTGAATTTCCACGCTAATTTCTTCCAAACTCTAGCAATTCCCTTGTTGATCTCACTGCTTTCTCTCTCTCTCTCTTTCTCTCTCTCACATTTTTGAGCTCAAAGATGAGGGAATGAGAGTGTAAAAATGAACTCAAGAGCTTACTTGTGCCTTATATAGGCTTGATTAGGGAATTTCATTAGTGACTAATTAATTGGCATTAATTATTCTAATTTAATTAATTCCGAATCAAATTTTAATTAAACCTACCGTCGAATTCTAAAAATTTCAAATAACTCATAAATCAAGTCAATTTCGTGATCGGTTGCCGATAAGGCCTTCAATTTGCAGAACAAAATAGAAACATGAACAGATCTTTCTATGATAGACAAATATAAGCACAAATAATGGAACACTCATGCAACTAAGTTAGAATTTCATTTTAATTACTTATTAGACATCTTTAATTGTGGTTTAGCAGTTAATCATAGATCGGGGTTGTTACAGTCTTCCCCCCCTTAAAGAGTTTGGTCTTCCAAACTCGAATTACCTTCGTTTTGGAAGAATATCAGATCTAGAGGAAAGAAGTCAGGGTATCTCTTCATCACATCATCTTCTGTCTCCTATTGTACATATGTCCCTCTGTAATTCCTACAAATCTACATTTCAAATTTACAATGTTTCATGCATATCTAAGCAAAGGATATGTATGTGTGAAGTATCCAAAGCGTGTTCAGTCTAAAAAATTTAAAATTTCATTTACATCCAAATCCTATTATATTTCAATTTTTTTTTAGAACTCCACATACTTCAGACAATTGAAGTCATGTGCTATTAACACACATGAAACACTTGGCAAATTAAAGAAAATAAAATGAAAGTCAACTATTAAAATCAAAATATTATGGATGTATACTTACCTATCTCTCCTCCTTTGGCATTTTTAAATTTAGGACTACGAGATGCTTAAAGCTTCCAATTTGTTTGGGAATTAAACTAATCAAGAAAAAAATCAACTTTTTGCTCACACTTCTTTTCAAACAGAAAAATTGTGAAAATGATTTCTTACTTTCAATAAATATAAAAATATTTATAATGTTAAAAAAAATAAATTGTAATTATTTTCATGTATATATAAATCTCTACTTATTTTGTTTCCATGTTCCTGCCATATGTGGTGTTTTAAATTTTTTTGAAATTTATTGGGTGTTCTTATCGAATCACATCCATGTCTCATGTTTGTATCCATACAATTTCAAGAATGGAAACTTCTATCAATACATATTTGCCAAGAATATTTTCTGCATTTTTATGGGCATGTAATGCTAATTCTTTGCCACTTTCAGTTGAACATCGTGGAAGTAACCAAACATGTTGCAAAAATTGGACCCAACATTGAATTACATAGCTTTACCCATAAACAGGAAACTAATGTAATATATGTGGAGTTAATATGGTCACAAAAGCACATGAACACAGTAATTATTAAGTGAAATCCCTTAGATCAAAGGCAACTTACCTCAGATATAGCACAACTGGCTTCACCAAGAAATTCTTGATCTTTCAACTTCAGTGTCTGCAGGATACCAAAATATGAAACTTCATCATCTGCAATTTTTTCCCATCTCTTATGATGAAAAGCTGCTAACAATTTGTTAATCTAGAGAGAAGTTGCTACTCATTGGGCACTACTCATTATACTGATAAGCATGTGAACTAAATTTATCCTCAAATTTCAGAGTTGACCCCTTCATTATACAAGATGAATCTCTTGAGTTATGAGAATTAATAATAGTAGCATTCCTAAATAAGCTTAAGAATCAAAATGAAAAACAGAAAAAATACAAAGAAAAAAACAAAGCTCTCTCTTGCTTTCTTGTTGTGTGAATATATTTATGTTAGAGAAAAGCAACTCTAAAATTTCATATATGCTAATAAAAATGGGTCTTTGGGAAGAGAGAGAGAGAGAGAGTAAACACAAAATTGGAAGGAGTGTCAAAACAATGATAAAATTTCACTGACATTATTCAATTATTAAATAAGTAATAGTTTGGATCTAGCTAAAATTTAACATCACCAAACTAGTAAAGAACATAATCACTTATGCACCTTTGGAACCTAAGAAGCAATGGACACAGGACATAATGATTGTGAAAAAATTAGGATATGGACACATCGGTGATACGGAAAAATATATATATATATTATACATTTTTATTGCCTTTGTATATGGATATATATTTAGGCCAAGTTTGGCATGAGATAAAAAAGACAAAAAGTCACTATCCTATTTAAGTCACATCATCTTATTTAAGTCACATCACCTCTCTAATACATCACTTCAAACCCAACCCAAACCCAACCCATATTTCATAAAAAGTCAAAAAGTGCACTTATTTAGTCTTCCCAAACTAGGCCTTAGCGCACAAATAAAAAGTGTCCATTTATATATGAGTGTATTTCTATTATTTTTTCACCTTTTCCCTCTTTGTTTCCACATATTATACTTTGCTCCCAAATTAGCTTTCTAAAATTATTTTTTTTAAAAACCCACAAAATTGTCCTAAGGAGTGTCCACACAGAGGACACGGATGACCTAGGGCATCACATACTCAAACCTTGAGGCATTGGCAAAATGGAGAACAAATCTCAGCTACACCGGGTGAAGCTAATTGAATTTCAAGCAAAAACCATAACATACCTTCACATGCAAATTGTGGTATCTCGTATCAACATCATACACATGAAAGCTGCAAAAACAAAATGTATAGACATTTGAGATAAATTGTAAATGCTTAAACAGAGAAAAATAACTATTAAATGCAATGAGCAAGATAAATCAGATGATCCCAAGTACAAAAAGCTTACACCAACTGCTGAACAATCTCAAACTGATAAGCAACATTAATTTTCTCAATCCATGCAGGTTCCAAAGAGTTCATTATCACTTCGGTGCGACCAAGTTCCTCAAGCAATCCATCTCTTTTCTTTATATAAACTACTGCAATAGGATCACTCTGCATTGAACAAGATAATACTTCAGTTTAAACCATCTTAGGACAAGGGCTGGCATAACACCTTAGTACATATCAATGAGTACATTACTGAGCTAAGTAGCTATGCGCTGTCTCTTGCACACGTGAGTCATTTGCTCTTAAATCTGGTAAGTACTTAATAATAAATGGCTTAGTTGTAAATTGAACTCAAAATTTTTACGGTCCAAGCCCCACTTCCCAATATTTCTTGAGAGGCAAGAGAGGCTACTCAAATATGCAGTGCGCACCCTCCTTATACATAGGGAAACATCTCCAGAGATGTTAGAACCTAAAGGACTATATTCAATCTAACATACTCATCCCCTTACATGAGCTAAAGGCATGCTATCATCTCATTATTTCCTTTACATGTAGAATTGTCAACATAGCTATGTCATGCCAAAGATGTTAAATTGAGGTTAGCATTACTTCCAAAAATTTGAACAATATATTTGGATATATTGTTTCAAACTTATTGCATATGTTCAGATTTTGGTATTGAAATTCATGCATTGAGATAAAGAGTGAATTTGAGAAGATAAACATAATTATACTGTGACATTATGACAGATGGTTGTGCGGAAACTACAGAAAGAGCCAACGGTTAGTAAAGTAGATATAGTTAAGAGTGAATTGGCTTAAAGTTGGGACAAGAAGATCATGGCTTCTAGGGTTTCAATTACAGCTTTATATCAGTCACAGGGACGAGAAAGACACAATGCGCCAAGTGAAAGCTGCTCTTTATTGATTCCCCAAAAGGAGAATAACAAGAATGGTCATACATTCTTCTAAACTGTATTTGTATCAAAATAAACAGCCTGGTGTTGCTTAATAAGCAAAGGAAACTAGCATCCCTACTTAATTGGCTCACATGGTATCATTACCAAACCAAACTAGGTTGCATCCCAAACAGGTGCCATTCCACTATCAAAGATTATATACTCAATTAAATTAAATAATCCATATCATTTTTATTACCACATCCCATGAACTTCCCGACTAACAACTAGGTGATGTAGAAAACATCAATCTTCAAAAACGAGATTCAACTATTAGGAGCTCTTGTCTAGGTTTCTTTTGAACAATCTTTTTGTGACTTTCACATTTGACTCCTAATATTGGCTTCTCAAAGGTCAATATACTGAGAATCACACAAAAAACAAAACAGCAGAAGTTATAAATAATAGCCGAGCTTATCCTTAGCATCATGATAAGGACAGCCACGAACATGATGACAATCTTGTACAAAAAGTGATGAATCCATGATGAGATGGCAATAAAAAAATTAACCATACCAAAAACAACTGTATCCACAAAAATAATTCAACAGAATCATTGCACAAAGAAGATACAGTTCTCATATGGTTTTAGTAGTAAGAAAAGCTTACCTTGGAAACAATGTCACGATCAAGTAATTTGGAAGCGGATAGAGATAACTGCGGTTCAAAATTGAGATACATTATCACATCATGAACAATAAAATTGCATGGACAGATTCTACAAAAGAGAGAGCCACAAGTTCCTTAGAAAAATCAACTATGTGTAACACCCTAGTTGTTAACATTTCCTTTACATCTCCATATTTCTTATTTTCATTACTAGTTTATTACATTTAGAGTTATGCCTTCTTGTTTGCTATAAGAATCTTGGATGGCATGCTATATTGTTTGTTTTGAGAAGTAAGACTCAATATGTTATCTTTATTGTTTAGGGTTCTCTACATGTTCAGTTGATATGAAATGAATTAGAACTTAGAGACAATAACTAGGGAGACACTCTTTTATACATAACGTAAGTCTGCATGCTTTTATTCCCTTAATTAAGATGTGTAAACGCCGTAGTCTAATGTTGCTAGATTCTATTCATTGTATAAAACTTAGATTACTGCTAACAAAACATGATTAGTGGACTTAATTGGGATTAGTTAACCTTGAGCATAATTAACAAGGCTAAACATGCTTAGTTGACTTGATCTCAATTAATAAGTGTTAACCATGATTAATAAAGATAAAATAGTGATTAAGAAGTTGGAAGATAACGCACACACCGCACTTCCTACTAGGAGGCATGACTCAAGAGGGAGTGAGAGACACTTGTCTCTCTAAAAATTTCAAAAATTATAAAATTAAACTAGAAATTATAAAAGCAGAGGGAGAGAGAGAAGAGAGGACCTGTGCAGAATTTTGTAGTGTTTAGTTAAAGAGAAAGTGAAGTAAAATGGAAGAAACAGTACAGCTCAAGGTTTCTACAACAAACTTAAAAATTAAGGTAAAATTCATTAATTGTAATCTAATATCTTCTATAATCTCAAAATAACATGATTAAAGTGAATTCAAATTGATTAATTGAAGGCTATGAAGCACAGGTACAAGAACTGGTATTGGTACAATATGGGTACGTCAATCCAGTAAAACTTAAAAAAAGTAGGATACAGGTACAAGTAGATACATTTGTAACAAATATGTATTTTTAATTTGGAGTAATGCAAAAAATAGTTACATGATTTAATTTGTTAAAATCCAACCTACAATTCACATTTAATGCCAAAAGTAAAAGTATAAACTAAAATTAAATGTCATTATATTAAATAATTTACAAACCATAACTTAATTTTAAGATCATGCTAAGCATAAAAATAAAAATAAAAAAGAAGTCCAACAAATTTAACTTTATCTTTGTATTAGAAGAAAATATTGTTTAAATTGAGGTACAGGTACGACTTGGGTATATATACTAAGTATGTCTCGGTATGCCAAAAATTAAGAAAAAAAAAAGTTGGATACGTCTTTCGTGTATTTAGTACGTATGCAGAAGTACCAGTACCCGATATGTACCCAGTACTAGTAAAGCATGTTTGTCAAAGTACCCATGCTCCATATATTGAAGGAATTAGGGTTGGACACCATGTCTGAATTGGATTAACCCTTTTTAGTTGGGAGAAATCCTTAATTATAAGAGATTTAATAAGAATAATGAGGCCCTCTCCTGTTTATGACTTTTAGGTATTGTATTTCATGTTCTTAGATACCTTAGAGGATCCTAGAATGAGTTTTTAGACTTTTGACGATGGCCTAGAGTAGCCAATTGTTCAAGAATGACCAAAATCCCCAACAGCTTAGAATTTCGATATGAGACCATCACCATTGGAATCTAGACTTCCAGGCCTCAATTTAGATGCAAGTTTTTTCCAATTTTAAAGAAGGAGATACGCCCATTTGAAATTAATCCACCAAGTTTGCCAGCTCATATGAGTTGGCCACTTAAGCAAGACTCTGGAAACCAATATTTTTATTGTTTTCCCTCTTTGATCTTATATTTAGCCCTAAAACATAATGTAAGACTTTTAAGACTCTAAACACGATTTTTGGACCTTGAATTATCTTAGATGACTTAATTTTGGGGGTAGGGTTCTTCAACAAAGTGAATTGCCCTGATTTTGTTATGTTTGAATCATGTACCAATATGCATTGTACTTATGCTTATGTAGGTTAATTATCTTGTGGACTAACATACTTCTGTAGGGTTAAGGTGAGTGATGTGAAATTTTTTATCACTCAAGAATATCATATGTCTGCTATGTTCAATGTATAAAGATGACATCCATGGTTTTGATCCAAGATACTATTAGGGCCGTAAAACATACTAATAGTTTTGTCATTGAGAGGTCTTACCACATTGTGGTTTTGACATATAGCTACAGTTGACCCAGTCATGTTTAGTACCGTCTAGATGGACATTGTCACAATGATTGAAATGCAA